TTGACCAATCGCGTCAGTTTATCCGGAAATCCGTACTCGTGCATAATCTGCCATAGCAGATCTCGATCGATTGTGTCGAATGCGGATTTGAAATCGATGAACAAATGATGCGTGGGCACGTTGTATTTGCAGCATTTCCGCAGAACATGTCGAATCACGAAAATGTGGGCAGTAACAATTTTGGTTTTATGAGGGTTCTGTAGACCATGATTTAGCCTTGTAGCATCACCATGATTTAGCCATTGTAAAATCACCATTTTACTAATTTGATGCAGATAAAAAACAAGGCCTACTAGATCAAATTTACACAGTAATTAATTTTATGGATTTTCCAAATTTTTATGACACTCGATTTGTGATTTTCCTTTCACAGATAGAGTACCTGACACTACAAAACATGTATGGTACCTCTATATATATATATAATATATCCGAAGTCGCTCCTTTTTTAAATATTCTGCACAAAATATACTTTTTTCTCCGCCCCATTCATAAAAATCGGTGGGGAATTATGTGAGGGGTGAGCTATTTTGTGTGTTGAATGTTTAAAAGAGGAGGGACTTCGAATATTAATCTAAATGCAGATATAGAGGTACCAGACATGTTTTGCACTGCACTGTCTTCTGTGAACAATTAGAAAACAGATTGCGCGTAGTTTTCGATAGACGTCACATGAATGCAGAAGCTTGATCAAATTTTTAATTGATCGATCATAATTATCTTAACACTTTCCAGTTTTTTTTTTAAATTTTAGTCGTTCCAAATTTGTAGTTTTTTTTTTTTTCAAAGTGAAAGTTGATGATGAGAATTGATCACAATCATTTGTACCCCTGCTTTCAAGTTTGGTTACAAGAGCATTTCATGTGGTTGTAGTGGGCGTGTGATTCAGAATATCGACAAACAGGTAGATAAATTTAATTCCTACTCTTTACTGTAATAAGCTTGGTGGCCCTGAAAAGGGCCGTTTTGTTGCCAAAGTTGGTGATAATTCAACCTCCGAAACGGTAAAGAGTGCGTCTCTGTCGCTTCAAAGCGTAGATGACACATCTATGGGTGCTTACGCTTGGCGTGTTCAGTGTAGGTGGCAGCATCATGGATCTTATTTTACAGGAACACCTTCAGCACACCTCGTAGACCTGCTTTTGCTGCTTCTTCTGCCTGCTCACCATGGTGTCCGAAGCGAAAATGAGTTGAAGCTAGAGAGCAGCGTTGTTTTTTTTTTATCTTTTCAGGTTAAGCAGAATGATGTGCGACCAAGTGGTACTCGATTATGAGGACTAGGTTTGGGAAGAACGTTTATTTCATGAAAACAGTGATAAAATTATCGTTTTTTATTTGTACATAGCGCAATGCCTGACATTACCACTTTTTCAATAGTTTATTGTTGAAAATCATCAGTTGGAAGCATTGCGTAGAAATATTTCAAATCTATTGGTGATAAAATTATTGAAATTAGTCCAGGGGCAGCTGAGTTATTAATGTTCAAAATCTTTCAAAATTTTGTTTCATGTTCCATTTTCGGTTTTCACAGTATAGAAATTAAAGACGTATCCAGTTAAGAAATTAAAAACGTAGTCCTAAGTCAAAAAATTTAAAAAATTCACTCAACTTTTTCTTTACAAAAGAGCAATAAACGTACTAAATTTGTCCTAACCATATGCAATTCATTAACGGATTACAATTTCACATCAGATGCGACACTAGTTTTTCATTACTATTCTATATTATTGCTCAATAAATTAGTTATTGCTTGATAGGCTGAAGTGAGGGACTGGGCTGACATTACATTTTGTAGCCCTACTACATTTCGTAAAGTTGCAGAGAAAAATCAAGGCCTACTTTAATCAAATTTACACAGCAATCAATCTTACGGATGTTCCAAATCTCCCGGTGGGTTATCTGGGGACCACTTAGAAGCAATGAATGGCTAAAAGATCTCAAATCACAATTTAACTACATTCCATATAGTAACAGAACAAATCAAAGCCTTCTTTGATCAAATTTACACAGCAATCAATTTTACAGATGTTCCGAATCTTTTGCGACCACAGAGAGCCTTCTTTTCATATAGTTGCAGGGAATAATCAAGGCATACTTTGATCAAAAATTCATACTTATCAAGATTGTGGTTGATCCGGGTCACCAAAATTTGGCTGGGTGCTTCTGACCCCCCAAAATACCATTCCAGGGGATAGCGTTTGACATTCCAGGGTTGACATATTTTAAAACACTCTAGTGTTTAAAAGAGGAGGGGGCAATACATACACTCAAACTATATCACAATTATGATTTGAGGTGCGCAGATGGAGCACATTTGAAAAATCAGTTAGTAATCAGCTCTATGAGATCTACGATTATTTGGACTGAAACTTTAATCGAAGATTAAATGACAAAATTATTATTGTTATGAGGCTAGACGCATTTTTTACATTCTCATTCGTTACTTCAAATATTTCATATATTAAAGAATTCAAATTTAGCTCTTAGATTTGGATAAATTTTTAAAATAAGTAAATAAGGATGAAAACAGTTTTGTGGATAGCTTAAGAGGGAATCTAGGTATAATGCAAAAGGAACACTGGGGAGAATTTCAATGGAATTTACCTTGAAATATCAGGTAATTTTTATAAGTATCTCATGAAGTTTGTAAGGAGAAGTGAATGTGTAGTTCTGAAGAGACTTGTATGGGGTTTATTATAAGAATTCCAAGAAACACAAAAAAAAATCAGGGCGCATTCAGAGGTGACTCGGAGCCTCTTTCCTTCAAAGTGAATTAACTGAACTACATGACTACAATCATCTACCTTTGCTACAAACTTCTAGATGTTTAAAGGAGAACTGCATGGAATTATGGATAATAATTCAATGAAAATCTATTTCATACAATGCTCAGTAAAATTTTTGCAGAGTTTCATGCTAATTTAATGATAGTTTAAAGAGAATTAATAAGGATTTCGAGAGAATTTCAAGAAGCTCCCGGAAGGGTGTGGCAATAAATTTTGAACATATTTCCGAAACAACTGTGAGTAGTACTCCAAGAGGGTCTGAAGAAATTTTCAAGGGAATACTGAGGATAATTTCAAGAGAATTCTAAGATAATGCCTAGAGATCCTGTCAAGGACATTTTGCGAATAATTTTGCGATGGAGATAAATTTAGAGTTAATTCCAAGAGTTTTCTGGAAGAAATTCCTAAAGTGTTCTGTACAGAATACCAAAATTGTTATGGAGAATATTTCCAGGGAATACCAGACAGAATTATAAAAATACTGAGTGTAATGTTGAAAGTAAAAGTAATTCTGAAGACATTTTGAACTGCTCTCAGTTCATAAGAAACAATTTAATAAATTCAAACATTGAGAAATTGTCACGATTCCGTGCACAGAAATACATGATCCAGGATTACCAAAAAAATAACATTTTGAGACTTCGATTGAGAACAGATTTCAAGACCCTGGTCTGAGATTATGTAGCTAGAAATTGCAGAAAAGTGTAAGGGTGAGGTATGTGAGGAGAATCCGCTAAAAATATGTGACTTGAAAAGTAATGTTGCTATTGCGATTTGCTTGGTTTAGATCTCAGACTTAACTTGTGTTCTCCAGTACTTTGGAAAAGAAAAATAATTTGGTGGGTTTACTGGATCAAAATATATAGCAAGTCAAATAATATCATCAATATCAAATACTGTCGAGAAGGAAGACAAAAAGCAACAATAGATTAAGTAACAACCAAAAGTTTTTAGAAATCATTAATACTATATTCGCATGATAAAAATCCCTCCCTGATTTACTGTCAAGTGAATTGGGAACCTATTCAAGGCACAAAACCTAATTCAATTCCAATCCATTCAGGACCCCTATCGCAATTAATCTGATTTTTCGTGCCATAAAATCCCATCATAACCGTCGAGTTCTCTCCTGATAGCAGAAAGAACTCCATTGAAGTCTGCCAGTAATTACTTTTCACATAACTAAGAAAAACGTAGTACCTACGCTCCACTCACACAAGCTCCAAGCACACAGTCCATAAGCCGTGTCATTTTTCACAAACTCGCTCCACGCGCGTGAATCTCGAACCAACTATTTTGCTGAGAGGGGAGCAAAAGTTTTAATAGTCTTTCTTGGTACTGTTTTTTCGCCCGTGTGGACCCAGCGAATGTACTTACGTACGAGCAATGGAGCTTCTGCTGATGTGCGGTGGTTGTGGAAACCGTGAAAGTTGGAGCAAAAAAAAAAGAAGAAAATCAACCATCACGAGTGAACGCTCAATGAAACGACGTGCAAGTAATGTGCGAGAAAGTGGCTCCGTCTAAAGAGCAAACCAGAGAGTGAATGACGTCACGTTTTTTTTTTTCGTGGAAAGTCGGCTGCACGGTGGTGGGGAGTTTTCGAATAATTGTGATTTTCAACCCTGAGGAAAATTTCAGCTACCGATCGTAAATGGTGCCTAATTGACAAATTAGATTTTTTTTAACCAAGAAACCGGTTGAACGAACCCACCGTGCACTATATTGCATCCCAAACTAGCGGAAGTAATTTTTTTTTAATCATCTTCGTGCCGTTGCGAGTTTTCCCGCAGTGAAATGGAGCAACAGAACAAAGTAAACTTTTTCCACGTGTGCAGTGCTACTATGTAAGACTAGGAAGGTGCGGGGAAAGTTAGATTTCAAGAGGTTTCAAATGGGACGTGATATGAGCAGATGAGCTATTCGTCGTACTAGCAAGAGTTACAAGTTCTAAATCATGTTCCACCGCGGTAGGGAACTTGTAGTGGGTGATACCTTCTTTGGGAGAAACTTTTGAAGAGGACTCAGGAGGGCGTGTCGAGAAGGATTTAAACGAAATCGTTTTCAATGTTGATGCTTGGGATCCATAGGCGCAAAATACGATTGAGATGTTTGAAAATGTTCCAATATCTAAGATCTGTAGCCAAAGATTGCACCAATTTAGCTCGAACGATCGATTGACTTGAATTCCTCTCTGTCTTTTCTATTGTTCCCCAGGTGTTTTCCCGCTGCACCTGAAGCGCATCCACATCCCAGCATACAAGTTCCGCGGTGAGTCCGCCCTTTTGGAATGTGAATACGAGCTTGCTGGTGCCCGGGATCGGTCCGAGTCCCGTCGCGGAGCGGCGAACTACCCGCGAAATCGATACGACATCTATGATTACTACAACGACGGTGGTGAAGGCGAAGGCGAGAAGATCTACTCGGTCAAGTGGTATAAGGACAATGAGGAGTTCTATCGATACGTCCCGTCGGCTAACCCTCCGATCAAGAGCTACAAGATCGACGGGATCTGGGTGGATGCGATGCACTCGAACCACTCGAAGGTATTGATAAAGAGGCTGACGCTCAAGTCATCGGGAGTGTATCGGTGCGAGATTTCCGCAGAGGCTCCGAGCTTCGACTCGGTGCAAGCCGAGGGGCGAATGGATGTGATATGTAAGTTAAATGGTTTCTTTGAAAGGATTGGTTGGCTTTATATTTTCCACAACAGTTATCCCAAAGGATGGACCGCATATCAGCAGTGACGGCGACCGGCAGTCGTACCACATGGGCGAAACACTGGAGCTGAACTGCACCTCCGGTAGGTCCTATCCGGCTTCCACCCTGCAGTGGTACATCAACGAAAAGCTCGTGACGGAGCCGAGTATGCTGGTTCCCTTTCCACGCTTCCAAAACCAGTACGGGCTCATCACCAGCTACCTCGGACTCAGCGTAGTCGTCGGACCCCATTACTACTTCAACGGTGTGATGCGGATCAAGTGCATGGCCAGTCTGTCGCCGGTGCTGTGGAGCGGAGACCAAGAAAGTATACTACACTGGGAACATCCCGCCTTCGACAACCGGGAAGCGATGCTGCTGGGTAAGATTCTGATTCTGATTCCAATGATTGATTATTTGAGTAAATGCAACTTTATTTCATACAGTGAGAAGTCACAGTCGGCAGATTCGCAGCAGTCAACACGTAGTCAGTACGGTTCTAGCAATACTTTTGTTGATAAATTTGTGATAAAACAAGAGTCAATCGAATTTTCAAATTCATGTGGTAGCTAATTAAGTTTGAAAGAGTGTTTTCGGTTTAGTTACAAAGGAAAGAGTGTAATCGATTGTTGCTTCGTATCAATTAAAATTAGAGCAATTCCCGTATAATGTAAATAGTAGTGCAATCAATAGAGAAGATAATCTTTGTAAATAACAAAAAGTGATCAAAACCGATTAAAACGATCAAAGCCACAATTTTGTAATAAAAATCAAACCACTTGTAGTTCAACGGCTGTGGAAAGAACCTCCCTTAATATGATTGACCCTCAATGGAAAGCTCGATATCACTTCACACACAGTTTCATCGCCATATTATCCACCCAACATCGCATTCCCTTCTATCACATACACGCCAGGAGCCAGTTCGAAGCTGATAAGAAGCCAACTTCGCCTGTTGAAGTCGTTTATCGCTTTTTTCCATGCTTTCCTTTCCATCGTGCATTCATTCGTTCGCCCTCCTGGGTTCACTGGGAGCAGCCTCTAATCCGGAACGACGTCTATGCATGGTCTTCTGGTGAAAGTGAGATATGAACGATTCAACGGGTGAGTGCCCACTGCCATTCAGGATGTTCATATGAAAAGAGCATGTCTAGTGGATGCGCGGGCGGAGGTATTCGTTACTTTGTCACATGTCGGATTTGTGACTTCCTTCTCCTGCGTTCGCTCTGTTCGTGATACGGGGATTAATCCCTTATCGCTAGATGACCGTTTGCTGCCGTGTTGCTTTTTAGCTAGGTTCAGTGGGGGTGGAGGATTAGCGAAGGTGGTCTGGATGGAGGTAGTCAACTCAAGTGGATTCTGGTTTCGTGATATCGACTATTCATATCTGATTTTATGAGCGGATGTGATAAAATGAACAAGTGCAGATTGGAACATGTTACTAAAATAATGACATATTTTAAGTCAGTTAAAGGTGAGTTTAACTCTTTATTGAATGACTTGGAACGGGTCAGACCATTTAAGTGATTTGACCACATAAAAGTGAATCGCAAAGCCGCTACGATTTTCCAGTGGTAAACTTAACTCCAAGCTACACATAAGTTACCTTGAGTTGACAGATGACATTTATGTCAACATGACATCTGGTAAATCCATAAGATGTACACTACCCGTCAAAAATAATCGCTTGGAAAAATATTGCAACACCTTTTTGCATAGTACATTTCCTAAAAAAGTGAAGCATCATTTCAAGGAAAATGCTGTATTAAATACCTATTCACTTTAAAATTTTCCGGATTGACATCAGAAGGCACTGAACAGTTTATAGAAAAGTTTGTTTTCTCTTCAGAAAGTACTGAGTTACACAAGTTCGAAAGAATTTCGGTACTGAACTGAATAGCTCCATAAAACTTTGAAATCAGTTTGGAACGTACTGAATCACTTCAGAAATTTCCGGAATCACTTAGGAACATTCTGGATCGCTCACTTAAGATAGTACTGAAGAAAAGTTTGTTGTATTTTCAGAAAGTATTGAATCAGTTCAGAAAAGTTAGAAATCAATGCGGAAAGTACTGAATCACTTTACAAATCTTTTCGATCACTTCGGAATTTTTTAGAATCCCTTCAGAAATGATCGGAGTTTATTTTGAAAGTACTGATTACTTAGTGTTTCTTCAAACGGTATTAAAGAAAATACCCAAAAATTAGGTTGAAACTACTCAAAATTGAGTATACTATACATATTACTTAAAGTCTCCCGTTGGGTAAAAGTTGATCTGACAGGTAAATACTTTTTCTCATAGGTTGAGTATATATAAGCTTTGAGTAAAAACAAACTTGTAATTAAGCCCTTATCATAATCATGGTGATACCAAAATATTGCGTACAAAATACATAAGTCTAGATTCTCCTCGATATTCTTTAAAATGCTTTTATATTTTTCAAAATAAGCAACAGTACAAAACTACCCGTTCTGCTAGCGAATGAGCAACATCAGGGTCTGTTGTCTCGTCACACGGCAGAGCTTCGAAAGTGTTTTTTCGCGGAAAAGTTTTTGTTTTTTCGCAAATAGTTTTTGTACCTCAGGGGACTCACGCATTTCTGACTTTCCACCTTAAAATCCGCTTCGACGATAACGAAATTCATCTTGCCTGCCTTATGGGGTGTTTACATCTGTGCGGATTTTCTAGCGCTTGTGGACTAGCCAACTAGCACGAATTTCAGTTGCTCTTGAAATCTCACGCTGGTAGATACTGTTGCCCTGTTAACATTATGCTGGTGAGCTTTTTTGCTAGCAGCTGGCTCATTAGCGCTACTGAAATAATATAAGTGTAGCCACCCCATTACCCATAGCCAGCAGCAAGAGCTGTGCAATTTACCATACAGCAAAACACACGGTATGACTGGCACAGTCTTGTAAGTGGTCACCGTAGTCGACATATTTTCTGTGAAAATCGACTGCCTTGGCTTCCGACACTTGCAAAACAAATTATCAAATTACAGTACCAAACTAAAATGTCATATGACATGCTCTGTCAAACGACACTGAATTCAACTGACTTGATCAATTGACTTCTTCTTCTTCTTCTTCTTTGCATTTCAAGCTTATTGCATATCGTATATTAGCTTTGTGCGTGGTCTCAACTAAGTGTTCTAGATGCACTACTACAGTTATCAATTGAGAGCTTTCGATGCCTGTACCATTTTTGCATTGGTATAATTGTGTGACAAGTTTCTCACTCCTCTAACTGTTTTTCTGTGCATCGTCTCTCTCTCTCTCTCTCTCTCTCTCTCTCTCTCTCTCTCTCTCTCTCTCATACCCTTTCATTACCTCGCGTGATATTGGAATACAATATCACGTTTGATATTGATTATACAAGCTCCTTTAATATTGCGAGACTATTCACAAACCGCGAAAATCATACTGACACATACATTATTTGGTTGCACATCGTTTTCTTAGGAAGAGAAAGTATTATTTGCTGTCTGTTATTGAAAGACAAATTTGCCATTTTCAGTCAATCCCTCCCATATACATTTACAAGCAAATCATTCTTGGTCTTTGATCATCCTTCTTCTTATTTGGAGCAAGAAGTATGTATGCAGCTTAACTTGTTAGTTGGGTGCTCTTTAATCCTTTGTGATTATTTCAATGAAAACATGAATGATACCGCCAGTATTATTCAATATTACTCGGCTCCGAAGAAACGGAAAAATGTTTTTACTCCTCGAAGATCAACCATGGAGAACCATCGACAGCACGAGATTCTTTCAGAACCGAAAACGGAACATACATGTGAGCACCAACTCTGTTTCAACTGTAGTGCATTGACGTAAATACCGGGGGCTGAACCCCCGGGCACCCAGGCCCCCCAGAGAATCGAAGACATAATAATAATATAATTATATATTCGATACTTTTCCTGATTCATCAAAATTAACTCTGCTGCTACTTAAAATTTCTTAATGTATTACCTATTTACGGCTGATAATTGGCCTTCATATTCTATTTATGATTTTGCTACACGTTAACGTATCATACGACTCAAAATTGAGTTTTTTTTTTCTTCTCAAAATCGTAAAAACGTAGACTGAGTAAATTTTCTCCCGGTTTTCCTCCCAAATCTGTTCGAATATAAGGAAATTGCAAGGGGTAATAAACTCTGCAAACTGTTCCAAAACACACCATGGCACACTATTCGCCAACACAAGTCTAGATAGAGCTTATTTCGATGATTTCTAGAAAGTTAAGGCTTGCCATCAATCATCATCGAGAGAAATCATTGTTTACAAAAGCTGTTACGCCCTAATTCCAGATCTATCTAGAAATATACTATATGAATTAGCATCACTGTCAAGTGTGGACGTTTTGCCAATCATTGCTACACGGAAAGACGAAACAACTCAAAACCGAGATATACACTCTGAAAAATCTTCACGTCCGATCTACCTGAAAACATAGGTGGTTCTCGTTCACCCTACTTTTCACGTAACTTTGACTGGAATAGTATGTAGCCGAAAAAAAAAATTCATTTTCAATTATCTACGTGATCAGTGAAGTATATAAGGCATGATTTCCACGTACTACTAAAATTGGGTAAACAATACAGGAAACATTGGTAATTTTTACGTGATATTCCGTTTCATTTGAAATGCGTTTCACGTCATTTGTACGTGATTTTGGAATGATAGTAATTGATAGTCAATATTTTGCAATTTTATCGGGCAGCTATAAAGGTTGTGTGTTGCATTTGATATTTATATCTGCTCATAAAATTGCATATTATTGACTGTTTAACAAAATATTTAAAAATCTGTTTCAAACATTTATTTCAATTATCATTATAATTATTTTTAACTCTAAAAATGTACGAATTTCCAACGCGATGTAGTGGCTGACTGTCAAAATAATCTACGCTAATTATATTTATTAAACTTAAACGATTCATCGCTTCGTATGCTAAAAAGTGTTCTTGGTATTAGCCTACAACCCAAATTTGTACTATTAAGTACAATGAATTTTCAAAATACGTTATTTCAAGAATCTCATATAAATGTGTGGTACCGTTTCTGAACATTGTCATGAAAATTCCTGTTCGATAATTAGGTCCTTTGTTATTCACACTGCTTGAAAGCCTCACTTCATAATCTGTCTGTAGACGTAGAGGCTGAACAAGCTCGGAGAAGTATTTTCGTAATCGAATATCGCCCATCTTTTATTGAAAACATTATACGTAAATTGTAATGATGCTTTTACGGATAGTGTATAACCAATGTTTTTACGTGAAGGCATTACATTAGCATGCTGTTTGAAACCGCGATGCTTGGCTTCATTACGAAAGCACATCATTTTATAAGCAGGACCTGAATCTTGAATGACGGTAGGAAAATGAACTAAGAAGTGATGCTTGGGTTTTAAATCATCGTTAAACAGCTGAATATACATAGTATGGTGTACTTCAGCTTGAGCTTGAGCTTGAGCTTGATTGACCGCCCACGGTTGCTACTCTGTTATTGCCAGATCAGCTGTAATTACACAGAGAACCAATAGACGATGCTTGGGACTAGCAATCATCCTCAATGTGTAAAAACTGGTGATCTGAAATTAGGCAATACCAGCGCTGGCCGCGCCCGAACACAGGTCAAGAAAGGAATGGGAAGGATTGTGTTGACATGACACTCGCTTTGATGGAAGCCGAGAACACCTCTGCACTTCCACGAGGAATCACTGGGATGTTGGATAA